CATGGGCTGAGTAAAGTAAGTGAGGATTGCATTCTAAAGAGAGCTTCTAGATTCAGGTGCATAAACATTGGTAAGATTTGCCCAACTTGGCCTGGAGAACTTAGCTCTTTGCTCTTCTGTAGTGTGTTCACATGAAGTTAAAAATTAATTATTAAGGCTGGGTGAGGTGGCGCATGCCTGTAATCCCAGTGGCTGAGGAGGCTGAGATAGGAGGACTGTGAGTTCAAAGCCAGCCTCAGCAAAAGTGAGGCACTAAGCAACTCAGTGAGACCCTGTCTGTAAATAAAATACAAAATAGGATTGGGGATGTGGCTCAGTAGTTGAGTGCCCATGAGTTCAATCCCTGGTAACTCCCCCCCAAAATTAATTATTAGGATAGAAATTTAGTATTTCAACCTGATATATAGCTCAGTAGGGAACAAATGTGTACTTTCTTATTTTTCTCCATAAAGGAGGCATGAGAAGTCTGGAGGGGTGCCATTGGAACCTGTTGTGGAATACGGATGGTTTACTCTCCCTTTGAATTATATGTAAATGTTTCGTATTGTTAAGGACACAATATGAGATTCACAACAGACAACTATTCATATATAATATGCAATTTTATATGTAATATATGAATGCATTTATACATTTTCATCTTGAGGACAGGACTGACTGCTAAGTGAGGCACCACTGAACCAGTGGAGTTGGCATGAGCAACATTTGAGAACTATGCATTGTAAGTTAAGTGATTTGTCATCAAAACTTTCAAAAGCAAGCAAAGGGCTGGAATTTGGAAATCTGCCACAGAGGACCTCTGAAGAGAATTCCATAAGCATAACACATCTGTGAATGAACAATAAACTGAATTCTATCACAGGATAAAGAGTAAAGAAAATTGTGAAGGGAGAAGTAAGATATCAGAACACATTTCCCTTTTCTCTGAGTGTTTTAGTCTAGGTCTGGGCTAGGCTGTGGAAAACTAAAAAACAAAACTAAACAAAACAAAAAACTTGGATGACATGTTTATTGATATATGGACCAAGACTGTACTGTGTAGGCTTTAAAATGAATCTTTCTGATTACACTTATTTCCTGGTTTTGTTAGATCTTTTTGACAAAGGCTAAGCAGCAAGAAGTGACCACTGTCACATTTGTAAAACATGCTAAATGAGCTCTGTATCATTTTGGCTCTAGTTTAGACCCTTTTATAAGAGCAGGGGAAAGGAGCAACACAAGAAAAATAAAAGGCATTATTTGTCAATTTTTATGAAATGAAGAAAATCAAAGCCCTCAGTTCTTATAAAATTTCAGCCTCTTTGAATGCAGAAGTAAGCAATGTAAAGTAAGCCCAGGATGGGAAGGCATTCTAACTTTGATCTTAGAAAGATTGGTAAAAAGGAAGTCATCACAATGTTTGGATTCAGTGTCCCAACAAAGGTTATAGCATTGTGACTGGAATTCATACTTCTGGAACAGTGAAAGGACTATGCTTTTAGCCCAGAAGTACCTTCCTTGTGCCCTGTTAGGAGGTGGGAATAGGCCCCTTTCCCTGGTAACTTGGGGTCAGAAATGAAAGTGGTCTGAAAGATAGACAACCCTGATTACACATCCAGTATATAATCATTTACACAAGTGATGTGACCGATGTAAAAGCAACTAAAAGGCTCAAACTTAACATTTTTTAAAAACTTTTTTTAGTTGTATATGGACATGATAATTTTATTTCATTTATTTATTTTTATATGATGCTGAGGATTGAACCCACATGCCTCACATGTACCAGGCAAGTGCTCTACCACTGAGTCACAACTCCAGCCCCTCAAACTAACATTTAAAATGAGAGAATGGACTGGAATAGAGATTATGCCAAATGTATTGATAGAAAATATAGTTTTAGAAAACTTTGCTTTGTATGTATATATGTGTTGTGTGTGTGCATACCTAAGCACCTAGGCATGTCCTCTAACCCAAGATCCTTGGAAGAATCAGTGACAATGCTTTATTTATAAGGTTTAACTCCCAGGGCAGTGAGAGTAAGGGGAAGGTTGAGAGGCAATGTAAATCGATAGTTTATGCTGCTTGTCACTGCATCAAAATGAGTCACAGAGAGACAGCCCCAAGACTCAGCAAGTGCATCTTCTCCACCATGTTGTGTATCTAGAGAGGTTCAGTGGACAAAGTCTCCATGTCTTGGAGATATCCATTGGAATGTAAAGGGAAAAGGAGTTATCTCCTGTTTTTTACTGAAGTATTAAAGAGCTATTTAAACAATTGCCATTATTGGAGAGTAAATGTTTATAATACAGAAATAAGAGGATTGAATCTATCTGCATCTGACAAAAATGCAATTTTTCAAGTAGCTAATATGCCAAATGTATTTTATACTGCAATTATGTATGTGCTGTTTGCCCAGTATAAAAACTGACCTGCCATCACACACCAGGGCAATGTGGATGATAAAGATAGAATCTCTGACCTATCAAATCATTGTCTAATGCTGTTATTCGTCTTCAACTGTGAAAAGCATCAGCTCATTTAAAAATTTAGGTTTTTTTTTTTTACAGACAAGTCGGTGAAACCCACTTTAATAGGCACAGAGAACTGGGCTTACTTAGGACAAATCAGACTCAGTTACTGCATCCAGAGCCAGGGACATCTAAGGGTAGGAAAACTCTTATGCTGAAACAATCCTCACCCACTGCAGCCCATTTATCCCCTAATCTGCATAATGGCCATTCTTGTTTCATCAGTGATTAACTCCTTCATCACAATTTTTAAATGGAAGCTCCACACATTTTATCATATTAGACATAATATTTTAGCATGTGTGTAAAGGAACAGCTGTGAAGGAATACCTGTGAGGAGGCATACAAAGAACAGACACAGACATAAAAGTACAAGCAGACAGGAGGAGTGGAGAGGAGTGAAGTGAAGTGGTGAAGAAGAAATGTAGAAGTGAAGTGTCCGATCCTCCTTGCCTGGGAGTTTATTAACTCAAAGAACACATACCTCCCGTTACCATGACTATATTCTAATTAGTATTTCTTTAACCATTAGAGTGCCAGCTAACTGAGATAAGTTCCAGGTTAATACAAACACGGAGCCCCTTCTCTCCAAGGACATTGCTAAGGAAACCAGATAGTGCCTGCATAGTTGTCAGAGGGAGGAGGCTGGGCATTCCAATCATGGAAATCAGGGCGCCAGTTACCCACCACCCTGGAGAGTTTGCTCACTGGGGGAACACTTCCCTGTCTATTTCCATGGTCAGAATACCTACACATGTAAATAATAAGGTTTTCTTTGTATAAATAAGAATAATGACATCATGTAGTATTGACTTTTTGTTGTTGTGACCAAAATACCTGAAAAGAATAACTTAAAGGAAGAAATGTTTATTTTGGGCTCATGGTTTCAGAGCTATCAATTCATGGTTGACTGACTGCATTGCTCTGGGTAGTAGTTGAAGCAGAAAATCATGGTGGAAGGGTATGACAATGGAAAGTTC